CCCAAAATAGAGCCAACGATAGTTTGGTTTACCCCACCCTCCTTTCATTCAAACGCTTATTGGATCAAGATGAATGCCCCAGTGCACACATTCAAAAAACACGATGTTATAAGGGGTCAGGTTTGCAAGGAATGGAGGCATCATAACAGCTGACAATGACGGACAACAACATTTCTGACTCTCACGGTGCTCGGTCATTGTTTATGTTCCGCTCTATTGACACTATTGACAGTGTATATGCTCCGCATATACCATTGGACAATCCCCCATTCCAAAAACTACCACTAGGGCTCTCCTTCTTTCATTCTACCTGTGAAGCTGCACAACAAAACCCAAACATAAAATGCCTTGAAAAGTATCTTCACTTCTGGCAACTGCACCTTCTGGTTTTCCATGGCCATATAGAATGGACAAGAGTCCACCAAAATTACTTTACTTCGAAATTCCCCACCCTCAAAGAATTGGTCTTCGCAAGAGAAAAGCGGTTCGGGGCGAAAAGGATTCTTTATTGAAAACCACACATCGAGTACTTACTTGTGAGGTTTCTGAACTTCGATATTTTAATGCCTGGCAACCCCGCATCCCTGCCAAGTCAACTTGTGGTGGATATACTGTGGAACTGGTACTTGGGAGCACTCTGGTGAATGTGCTGGTGTAAAGGCTACGCTGGGCTACTCGGGGCCACTCTGGTGGATGTGCTGTGTAAGGGCTACTCTGGGCCACGGTGGGCCACTCTGGTGGATGTGCTGTGTTCGTTGGGTTGCTCTGAGCTATGCTGGGACCACTCTGGTGGATGCGCAGAAGTAGCGAGTCTACTGAATTCCAAAGTTCTTAAAATCTAACAGCCCCACAGTCCTACGGGTGGGGAAAAAACTGCTTTGATAAGTACATTACAAGTCTACAACTATCCTGCGATCTCTTTGGTAAATGTGCTGTGGAGAAGCTAAGTTGCGCGACTAAAAACTGTGGTTGCCGTGGACAAGCTAAGTTGAACTACTTAGAAATCAGTTTGTGAATGTGCTGTGGAAGAGCTAGGCAGCTAGGTTTAGCTACTCAGGGATCAGTTTGGTGAATGTGGTGTGAATACTCAGAGGTCATTTTGGTGAATGTGCTGTGGAAGTGCTACGTTGAATTACTCAGGGATTACTTTGGTGAACAGGGATCAGTTTGGCGAGCGTGCTGTGAAAGAGCCACTTTGGGCTACTCAGAGATCACCTTGGTGAACGTGCTGTGGAAAAGCTAGCTTGAATACTCAGGGATCACTCTGGGGAACGTGCTGTGGAAGAGCTACTTTGGGCTACTCCGGGATCTCTTTGGTGAACATGCTGTGGAAGTGCTGCGTTGAACTACTCAGGGATCACTTTGGTGAGTGTGCTATGGAAGAACTGCTTTGGGCTACTCAGGGATTACTTTGGCGAGTGTGGTGTGGAAGAGCTAAGTTGGGCTAGTCAGGGATTCCTTTGGTGAACGTGCTGTGAAAAAGCTACTTTGGGCTTCTCAAGGATTACTTTGGTCAACGTGCTGT